TCGATCTCTTGACCTCGTGATCCACCCGCCTCGGCCTCCCAAAGTGCTGGGATTACAGGCTTGAGCTACCGTGCCCGGCCCTCCCAGATATTTTTTAAGCAAACTTCTTCCCCTTCCTCTTTCCTTTCTTCTTCCCTTTCCACTTCTTCTAATTCCTGTAAGGCCTAAGAACTGTAAACTTCATTTTCTAGCCAGTGAGAAGTAACTTGACACTTAGAATGGGGAAGAATTGGAAGGGCTTGTCATAATCCACATTTGCATTGTAGAGGAAACACAATAAAATGCCTAATATTTAGTCATGGGTAAGAACTGATGCCATCCCCATCCTGTCTGTACCAATAACAGATTGGGGATGATTTGGCCACATGGCACCTTCTGAATAAGCACCTGCAGATGGGAGCCCAGGAATGGTTAAGCCACTGCCCAAAGAGTCACTATCACCATAACATGCCAGCCCATTCTTCCCTAAGGAGAATGCCCCAATCACTAAGGTTAGAATGTACTAGATAAAGATATTGGGTATATCTCCTTCTTCTTCGGCTCATCCCCCCAAAAACAGACTCTTCTTCTTTCGGGTCTTCAGGTTGAGGATATAAATTGATCAGTCCGCGTGGGTGAGTTAGGAAGGGTTAGGATAAAATGCTTCCTTTCTCCTTGCTCTGTATTCCTCTGGCTATTTTAAGGCCTACCTGAAAGGGAAGTAGAGATGGCATGCTTATCAGGATTCCTGAGTCCTAATAGTCCAAGCACACAAACGGTTGAAAAGTACAATCAGCCAGAGCAATACACAGACTTTTGAAATTTCCTACAGGAAAGGAATTCACAGAAACACCAAGCCTTGAATCAATATGATTTATTCTTTTCTCTTCTGCCATTAACATTCTAGCTATTGGGTAAGTTGTTCTCCATCCTTGGGACCCCATGGTTGAGGGGAGAGGTCTTCTATTCTACCACAAACCTCTCAACGGTAGAATAGAAGCACAGCTGCCTCCGTTATCTCCCGGCTGCTGCTGAAACCAACATGAGTTCCATATCCATTCCAATCAAAACCAGAAAAATCTCCACACTGCCAGGGGCTAGACTCTGGGAAGAATCCTCCTCCACCAATGCAGTGCTGAGAAACAAAGAGAGGAAGAGGCGTAATGAGGGATCTCCCGGGGAGGCCAATGCCATCTTAACAGCCCAATCTAGTGATTTCTTTGGTCCTTATCAGACTCTCCATTGACAGTGTTGATCTATCCTTCCCATAAAAACCTCTCTTCCTTGGCTCACACCTGTAATCCCAGCAGTTTAGGAGGCCCAGGAGGGTGGATCTGTTGAGGCCAGGAATTCAAGACAAGCCTGGCCAACATGGTAAAACCTCATTTTCTCTACCAAAAAAATACAAAATTAGCCAGATGTGGTGGCAGGCACCTGTAGTCCCACTACTTGGGAGGCTGAGGCAGGAGAATCGCATGAACCTGGGAGGCAGAGGTTGCAGTGAGCGGAGATGGTGCCTTTGCACTCCAGCCTGGGTGACAGAGTAAAGTAAGACCCTGTCTCCAAAAACAAAAACAAACAAACAAACAAAAACTCTCTTCCTTTAGCTTTAGTGACATATTGTCTCAACTTTCTTCCAACTTTTCTGAACATTCATGCTCGGAGCCCTTTCTGTACTTTTCCTCCATGCATCCTCTAAGTGCTGCTCCCTAGTGGAGGACCCACCTCCCTCTCCCTTAGAGACTGCATGACCACTGTGGCCTCAATGACTAAAAATTCACCATTGGCCTCAAAATCTCCATCTCCTGTCAAGATGCTTCTTGTGCTGACGACCTCAAAATCCAACTGGGATCTCTACACAGGAATATCAAGCTCCAAATGACCAAAACAGAGTTAATTATATCCCTCATTCACCCCAACCTATTCATCATCCAGACACTCTGACTTCATAAATGACACTCACTCACCCAAATGAGAACCATGTTATTCTCGACTTCCCTGCCTATCCTCTGTATTCAGCTGGTGATACGGTTTGGAGCTGTGTGCTCACACAAAATCTCCTGTTGAATTGTAATCCACAGTGTTGGAAGTGGGGCCTTGTGGGAGGTGATTGGATCGTGGAGGTGGTTTCAGGTGAATGATTTTAGCACCAGCCCCTTGATGCTGTCCTCATGATAGTGAGTGAGTTCTCATGAGAGCTGGTCATTTAAAAGTGTGTCGCACCTCCCCTGCCCTTGCTCCTGCTTCTGCCGTGGGAGATACCTCACTCCTTCCTTCTTGTACAGCCTGCAGAACCATGAGGCAATTAAACCTCGTTTCTTTATAAATTACCTAGTCTCGATATTTCTTTTTCTTATTTTTTTGTTTTTGTTTTTGTTTGTTTGTTTGTTTTTTGTTTTTAAACAGGGTCTCACTGTCACCCAGGCTGGAGTGCAGTAGTGCGATCTTGGCTCACAGCAACCTCCACCTCTTGGGCTTAAGCACATCCTCCCACCTCAGCCTCTCAAGTAGCTGAGACCACAGGCATGCACCACCACGCCTGGCTAATTTTGTACTTTTTGTACAGACACGGTTTCACCATGTTTCCCAGGCTGGTCTCAAACTCCTGAACTCAAGAGATCCACCCGTCTTGCCTCCGAAAGTACTGGAATTACAGGCATGAGCCACTGCGCCTGGCCGGTATTTTTTTATAGCAGTGAGAGAAAGGATGAATACAACTGGTAGTCAATTTACAATCTTTGGAATTTATCAATCCCTCCACTTGGGATTCCTGAGCCTTAACATTTCAAGCACACAAGAGACGGCCTGAATGAGGTTTCTAGAAGGTGAGGTCCAGGACTGCCCCAGCAACTCCCCAGTGCAGTGTGTATCTAGGCAAACCATGGCTAGTGTTGGGGAGGCCCAGGTTTTTTCTGAAAGTTAAACCTCAGATGAAGAAAAACAGCACCTTAGGCTGGGCGTGGTAGCTCACGCCTATAATCCCAGCACTTTCAGAGGTCGAGACAGGCAGATTATGAGGTCAGGAGACCAGCCTGGCCAACATGTTGAAACCCCATCTCCACTAAAAATACAAAAATTAGCTGGATGTGGTGGTGGGTGCCTGTAATCCCAGCTATTCGGGAGGCTGAAGCAGGAGAATCATTTGAACCCGGGAGGCGGAGGTTGCAGTGAGCCGAGATCGCGCCACTGCACTCCGGCCTGGGTAACAAGAGCAAAACTCCATCTCAAAAAAAAGAAAGAAAAAAAAGAAACAACACCTTGTGTTTCTCAAGGAATCTCAGCTCTAAAGACTTCTACAGAATATTTCAGCACACAAGCCTCACCCCAGCTCCAAAGTGACTATTTTCCCACAAAGGCTGAGCACCTAGCAATGGTTCTGAAGCCTCAGCCCTCGATTTGGGTCCTCAAAGGTACAGAATGTCTATACCTGGACAAAGGGTCCCACAGTCCTGGCCCCTGAAACCCAACAATGAGCAAGAGAAGGTCACACTCCCACACACATACACACATAGCTCAGTCATAGCATACTCAACACACACATGCATACAGACACACACTGACAAACTCGACCTTATTCACAGGCCCTTTTGGTCCCCACAGAGACTCACGTGCTCAGTGTTACATCCGGTGACCCTCACTCCAGCACACAAGGCGTTGGCTGCTCTCTCATTATTAAATACCCTGAACTGAACAAATCCCGCAGTAAATTCTTCTGAAAACAGGCAGAAAACAGCATTCATGGAAGATGCTAGAAATCGCTTTCGTTAGGCCAGCCCAGATATTCTCCATGCTGGAGCTCAGGCTACAGCCCAACACTCCAGCTGGTGGAGCCCAGCACCTCTGTGGCCAATGGCTGGTGCATCCTGGCCTCAAATTTAACCAAGAGGGACCTTTTCCCAACCCCAGAGACCAAAAGCTGGTCCTTAGAGAGGGCTCCTCATCTGCCAGAGGCTTGCGAAGAGAAATTCAACTCTGCAGGAAGATCGCCATTGAACACCTCCAAGGGCTCAGCTGCAGCAATTAACAGATGTATTCACTCTGTTTTCATTTTTCTTTTCTCCTTTATTTTAAAATCTCAAATCCCAAATGTAAATAATAACAGCTTCGAGTTCTATATGTTCAGCCTCTGCAAAACATACTGTGCTACCAACTTTGGCTTTACACAAACTCACAATAGAAAAAAAAAAAAAGTCCCAGCTGGGCGCAGTGGCTCACACCTGTAATCCCGGCACTTTGGGAGGCTGAGGCGGGTGGATCACCTGAGGTCAGAAGTTTGAGACCAGCCTGGCCAACATGGTGAAACCTCATCTCTACTAAAAATACAAAAATTAGCCAGGTGTGGTGGTGGGCACCTGTATCCTGGCGACTTGGGAGGCTGAGACAGGAGAATTGCTTGAACCTGGGAGGCGGAGGTTGTGGTGAGCTGAGACCGCACCATTGCACTCCAGCCTGGGCAACAAGAGCAAAACTCCGTGTCAAAAAAAAAAAAAAAAAAAAGAAAACATCTGGAGCCAAATTTTCTCAGCCCAAATGCAGACTTTCCACATATGCCTTGTGATCTTGGCAAGTTTCTAAACCTCTAAGTGCTTCATTTTCCTAAAATGAGGTTAATAATAGTTCAGATCTCAAAGGCAGTCATGCAAAGCAAGTGAGGCAATACGGGAAGCACTACAGAAGAGAACCAGGCTACAGTCAGGGACACAAAACTGTTACCTAGCATAGTTGAATGTATCCCCTTTCCTACTAATAGTTCAGAAGGTCATTGAAGACTCACTCTGGCCAGAGGGTGAGTAATAAGACGCTGTTTTCTTGGCATCGCCAAAGTCATAGACCACATGGATCGCCGGGCCATTGTCCGTCCAACACTTTCCTTCTCCATATTTCACTGGGTATGTCTACAAAGAACAAAAAAAAAAAGTCATAAAGACAATGGCTTTGCCATTACCAGCATCTCCTGGGATGCTGCCATTCAAAGAGGGGAAACAGTGCTTTCTCAGTAACTGAAATTACTTCAAAACCAGTCAAAATCAGAAACTTTCCCTTGTACTGCTGCCAGTTACTTGGGAGCTATGCTTCTGCAACAGCCTAGACCACTTCATTCTCTCTCTCTCTCGTTCTCCCCGACCCGTCCTCACTCTTCCTGCCCCAGCTGTCCTCTCCCATAAGTCTTTTCTCTTGCCTGGCCCAGAATTCCTAAGAGAAGCCGTCAGCAAATCTAGGTTAGAAGACAAGTCCATTAAAAAATGATTCCTGACCAACCTCTAACACATGCTTCTCTGCACATGCATGAAAACCAGTCCCAGCCAGCAGCCCTGTGTACCTGGTAGAGGCCAAACAGATTATGTCCCAGGATCTGGAAGAAGCCGGTGTTGGTGCGGTACCTCAGCAGGGAGCTGTTTCTCCAGTGCTGCATGGGGGACTTGTTGGGCACATGCCAGATGCCTAGGTCCTTGGCCTGGATGTCATAGTAGCCGGGGTTCTGGAAAGCAACAGACATTGAGCCTGACTGGACCAGGAGGTCCCAGGAGGTAAAAGGCCCACACGTGCAGCCTCAGCTGGGCTGTGAGCTCTGGACTTCAGGTGAGCAGATGGCCAGCCACGCTCAGACACCCCACTCCCAACAGACGATCCCACCACCACCCAGGCCCTAATGGCCTTGTTGGGAGGAAGTTGTGATTCACTGTGTAAGTTGGCTAGGCAGGGTAGCCAGCACTTTGGGAGGCTGAGGCAGACAGATCATTTGAGGTCAGGAGTTCGAGACCAGCCTGGCCAACATAGTGAAACCCCATCTCTACTAAAAGTACAAAAATTAGCTGAGTGTGGCATTGAGCACTTATAGTCCCAGATACTTTTGAGGCAGAGGATCACTTGAACCCAGGAGGCGGAGGTTGCTGTGAGCTGAGATCAAACCACTGCACTCCAACCTGGGCAACAGAGCGAGACTGTCTCAAGAAAAAAAAAAAAAGATGTAAGTATTTCTCTTCTTCTCCAGCCCTTCCCCACATCCCACCTTCCAGCCCTCCCTCCTGCAGGCCTGTGGCCAGCCTCACCCCACTCCTCGCCCTCACCCAAGCAGGTGGGAAGTGGCACCAACCTTGTAGTCATCGCTCGTGGCCGCCTCTGCAGACCCAAAGGTGTTGTAGTTGGCCCAGTTGCCGTCCCCCTCTGGGTAGTCTGCTTTGTTGCCCTGCTGACTGGACCAGCGATCGCCCACCGTGCACTTCCCACGCATGTCATTCTCGTGCACACTGGCCACCAGGGTCCAGCCGCCACCCCCAGAGGTCATGTCACAGAAGGTCTGGTAGACAGCACCATTCTCGGTGCGGAGCAAATACAGGCCATCTGTAGAGAGAACCAGCCCAGAGCCCCCCTGTCTGACAGCTCAGGATCCATCTCAGCCCCATGACAAAAAGTCCCTAGGAACCAGAAACATGGCCTAAAGGCTCCTGTCCTGAGTCACATCACTAAGTGCTCCTAGGGGTACTGGGGCCTCCCTGAGTTCAGAAGATCGCATTCCTGTAACTGAGGCAGAACACAGAATTATATAAAATCCCAGCGATATTTTTCATAAAGTTAAACATCAAATTATCATATGACCCAGCAATTCTGCTGCAGGTCTGTCCCCAAAAGAATTGAAAATAGGGCCTCAAACTGATGCATTTACACCAATGTTCATTGCAGCATTAGTCACAAGAGCCAAACAGAAGAAAGAATTCAAATATTCACCAACGGGCAAATAAATAAACAAAACGTGTTGTGTGTGCATATATGTGTCTACAATGGATAAAAGGGAATGAAATACCCATGCTACAATACGATAAACCCTCAAAACACTCTGCTAAGTGAAATAAGCCAGACGCTAAAGGACAAATACCATATGATTCCAATTACATGAGGTAACTACACTAGGCGAATTCATAGCGACAGAAAGTAGAAGGTAGCTACCAGAGACTGAGGGAAGGGAGTTATTGCTTAATAACTATGTTATTTTTTGTTTTGTTTTGTTTTTGAGACAGAGTCTCACTCTGTCACCCAGGCTGGAGTGCAGAGGCACTATCTTGGCTCACTACAACCTCTGCCTCCCGAGTTCAAGTGATCCTCCCACCTCAGCCTCCCAAGTAGCTGGAATTACAAGCGTGCACCACTACACAAAATAGTTTTTGTATTTTAGTAGAGTCTCACCATGTTGGCCAGGCTGGTCTTGAACTCCTGGCCTCAAATGATCCACCTGCCTCAGCCTCCTAAAGTGCTGGAGTTACAGGCATGAGCCACCGTGCCCAGCCCCTCCATGTTATTAAGTACAGAGTTTCTGTTTTAGTGAAAATGTTCTGCATATGGATAGCAGTGATGGTACCCAGCGTGAAGGTAATTAATGCCACTGAACTGCACGCTTAAAATTGCTTAAAATGGCCAATTTTATAGCAAATTATAATGTACATATACTTTACCACAATTTTTTAACTAAAACACAAAAACAAAAAGACTCCCAGAAGACACAGTCCTGATACCCTGACTGAGCTCTGTTTGCATGTTTCATCACTCACCATGTGCATCAGAGCACTTGTCTTTGATTTCCTTGCAGCTTCTGGGCAGAGACAAAGAAAAGTCCAGTTCCTTGAAGCAAGTATTAGCCCCACCTAGAGAATACACAGAGCTTTAGTCTCATTCCTGGTTTGACCCAAAACCTAGACCCTCCTATCACCAGTCCCACACTCATTCCATCACTGTAGCAGAACCTGACTTCCAGGGTGGTAAGGCCTGAGGTAGCCGGTGTCATAACCACTCAGCCCATCAGCGTCATAGTCACTTAGCCCATCCGACCCGACAGCCAGCATAGGCTTAATGCACGCCTCCTGCCGCGTGACCTGTCCTTGTGCTGGGTCCTTCCCTAAGCACTGAGTAATCAACGACATTAAACATCCCCAGCAAGAACTTGCCTCCAGAGGGAATTGCTGACAAGTCAACAGAAAATTGTATTGGGAAGAATAAATGGTAAAAGAGAGACTCTGCCGAATGGCGAGGCCAGACAGTGGGCAGGGGAGGTGCCTGGGAGGGGGAGACGAGGGGTTGTCTCGTGTCTTAGTCACAGAAGAGCTTCCAGTCCAGGTGACATCTTAGCTTGTTCTGAGAGAATAAATATGATTTATCAGTAGGAAGAGAATTCAAAGCAGGGAAAACAGCATATCCAAAGGTCTAGAGAAAAAAAAAAATGTAGTGCAATACAGCTGTAGAAGTACAAGCTGCTTAATATGGCTGAAATATGGGGTGTGCACTAGAGGGCGAGGGCGATGAGACTAACCTCTACTCTAAAGAGTCTGCAAACTCTTCTAACAGGCTGGTGGAAAGCTTTGAGGTCAGAGGTGACTGACCTCAGTTTCCTCATACCTAAAACAGTTCATAAATGGTGTTTTTGCAAAGGTGAAGATATTTAGAAACAGCTTTTCTTTTTAAAAAAAAAAAAAGGAAGAAAAATACAAATTTTAAAATGTCATTGTTATTCTTGTTGTAAAGAAGAAGACTGTGAAGAGAACATTCTCCAGGCACCAAGCAGACCATGTAGCTCCCATGGAAATCCCACAGCCAAGGCCACAGGAGTGGGCAGTGGCTGAGAGGTGACACAGTTCTTACCAGAGCCCCCTCAGGGCCACACAACAGCACAGAGCCTGGACCAGAACATGCCTCACGCAACACCCTCACCGCCACAGGCCAGAGCCCACCAGAGACCGGAAAACCACTCAGTCTACATGCAAGTCGGCCTCTGTGCGTCTCAAAGACATCCTCTGTGTCATGGGAGAGACCAGGATCCCGATCTCTGGAGCCACCAAGCTGAAGGAACTGCTGTCGCTAGCAGCTTGACTCACCTGTACTCCACCCTCTGGCGGCCATAATGAGAAACAGCAGGAAACGGAGTTGGTTCATTGTAATCTGCAGAAAAGCAAGATGAAGGTCACCATCTTGACCATCATTTTTCTCTACATCCCTGTCCCATCTCTGTCGAGTCCTACAGAGACTCCAAAACCCCTTGCCTTTTGTTTAAACTTCACACATCTCTGAGACCAACAGCAGACCTAAGCTGAAAACAGGGTTCCCCCAACTCACAGACCTTGTCTGAGTCTCAGCTGCACTTTCCTTGGGCACAGAGAGCTCCTTCACTCCCTCCCTCCACTGCGGCCTGAGCTCAGTGGAGTGGAGCTTTCTCCAAAAAGGCTCCTGATGTGGGATGAGGTGCTGAAACCTTTATGGAGAAAGCCCAGTGGGGCCAAACCCAAGCTTCCAGCCTCACCCTTCCCTGGCAAAATGCCCAGTGCAGGGGAGGCTTCTGGTTATTTCAAAGAGGTTATTTATACAGCGGAATTAACAGGATCTAAAGAACAAACAAATCCTAAGTATCACCCACTAGTGTTGCTCCCGGATCTGGGGGTTTCTGGACCTGTGTCAAGGTCCATGAAAACTAAATAAATAGACGAAGAGACTAACAAGAGCTGGTGTTGGTTTTGGGTTGTTGTGACTTTCTTTCTTGCAAAATAAAAACTTTATCCAAATTAAGCATCTGTTGGCCTGGCACATTGGCTGAAATTCCAATACTTTGGGAGACCAAGGCAGGAGGATCACTTGAGCTCAGGAGTTTGAGACCAGCCTGGGCAACATAGGGTGACCTCTTCTCTACTAAAAATAAAAAAAAAATTAGCCTGCCGTGGTGGCACTTGCCTGTAGTCTCAGCTGGGGCTGAAGCCAGGTGGGAGGGTTGTTTGAGCCACAGAGACAGAAGGTGCAGTGAGCTGTGATCATGCCACTGGACTCCAGCTATGAAACACAGCAACACCGTATCTCTAAATAAATAAATAAACGAAATGAAACGTTGACTGTAATTATCCTTTCATAGAAATAGAAAAAGGAAATTTTAACAAAATGGGAAAATGATCATTTCTGAATAAATTGGTAAAAAGGAGTGGAGGAGAAAGAGATACAAAACATACACAAAACGAGTAAAAAATTTTAAAAAGCAATAAATATAAACCTTTCGTTTGAATAAATTTTGTTTCATACAAAGACTCACTACTTTGTCCTTAATTTTGTCATTTGGCAACAAACTAGGGAAAATTTCCTACAGACTTCATTTGAGGCTGAATCAATATGAAACCTCTCTGATGCTTCAAACCTTCCATCTTACTGCTGTTCCTATGTCATGGAGTTCTCCAATCCTATCCTTCAGCTACAATAGAATTGCTCAGTTCTTCCCCAGTGATATTATACACCTAATACATCATGTCATTATAGCATTAATAATACTGTAATCTTTTCTTACGAAGATTGTGAATCTTTTTTGTTAAGCTAATATTTCCTATTTGTTGGTTCAAAGTACTGATTTGCACAAAATACTTATATATTGCTAGAAGTAAATAAAATAGCATCCAAAAAGAAAAGAAATCCAAAAAAAGTTACTTTGGTAAATTTAACATCTGTTAGAAGCTATTTGCTCTGTGTATACAGAAAATAATTAAATAAAATTAGATGTATTGGAAACTAACTCAGTACAGGTAACAAAATTAACATACTCAGCTTTCATATTTACAAACAACAACCTTAGAAATAGAGGTCTTGGCCAGGTGTGGTGGCTCATGCCTGTCATCCCAGCATTCTGGGAGGCTGAGGCAGGTGGATCACTTGAGGTCAGGAGTTCAAGACCAGCCTGATCAACATGGTGAAACCCCATCTCTACTAAAAATAGATAATTAGCCGGGCATGGTGGCAGGTGCCTGTGATCCCAGCTACTTGGGAGACTGAGGCAGGAAACTCGCTTGAACCCAGGAGGCAGAGGTTGCAGTGAGCCGAGATCACACCATTGCACTCCAGGCTGGGCAACAAGAGCGAAACTCCGTCTTGAAAAAAAAAAAAAAAAAAAAAAAAAATAGAGGTCTCTAAGTCTACAGTTTACAATAGTAAATACATGCACATAAACTTAACAGCAAGGGCCCAAAATCTAGAGAAAAAAATGAAACATCCCCTCAGTTGTTCATTACTGTGTAACCACCTGAAAACCTAATGGCTTAATAAAACAGTAACATATTTGCAAAAAGAAAAAAAAAGAAAATGTAGACTGCTTGTAGTACTTTCTTTAGTTGATTCTAAGACACTTTGTTTGTATTTTGATATCTTTAATATCATCATGTGTCTCATCCTTAGTGGTACATGATGCCATCTAATAGACTGGGAAAACGGTAGATCTATTTTAGGAACATTGTCCCTTCTAACCACCGCTAGCAATCAGTGATTGTGTCGCATTGATTCTACCTGTACTTCCTCTTGAATCTGTTCCCCACCTAACTTCCTCCAAACCCCACTGCCCTGGACATTAATTTAATTCAGTCTGATTGCTTTTAGCTGTAACTAATAGAAACCCCAACTCAAAGTGGCTTTTTTAAAAAGTAGCTGGGTGGTGGCTCACACCTGTAATCCCAGCACTTTGGGAGGCTGAGGCGGGTGGATCACGAGGTCAGGAGTTCAAGACCGTCTCTACTAAAAATACAAAGAAAAAAAAAGTAAATCTACTAACTCATGAAATAGAAAATTGAGAGAGAGGGCAAGATCCAGGCATGCTTGAAGCTTCTCTTGTATGTATGTATGTTGAGACAAGGTCTCACTCTGTTGCCTATACTGGATGGAGTACAGTGGCCCAATCTCAGCTTACTGCAATCTCAACCTCCCAGGCTCAGGTGATCCTCCTGCCTGAGCCTCCCAAGTACCTAGGACTGCAGGCACACACCATCACACCCTGTTAATTTTTGTATTTTTTGTAGAGAGGGGTTTTCACCATGTTTGCCAGGCTGGTCTTGAACTCCTGGGCACAAACAATCCTCCTGCCTCAGCCTCCCAACGTGTTGGGAGTATAGGTATGTATGTGACAGTATGTTTGTGCATGAAGAGAGAAGGGTGTGGAAGAAAGCCCCTCCCCACCAACTGACTCCTGCCCCACATCTGCATCTCCAAGTGACTTGGCTATGCTTTATTACTGAAAACAAAAGAAGCTTTATTGTAAAAGTTACGTATATGGAAAAAGATATAAGACATTAAATTTGCAGTTTAATGAATTACAAAAAAGCAAATACCCATGTAGTTATTATCCTAGCCAATAAATGAAATTTTGCCAGCAGCCAGAAGCTTCCCATATGCTCCTTCCAGATAACAGACCTCTCTCTCCCCTAAAAGTCATCGCTAGCTTAACTGTGTTGGAAATCAGCACTTCCTTGTGCCCATACCACATGCAAATGTTTTACATTTATGAAATGTCTTGACATCCAGTAGAGCAAGGCTCACTTTGTTCTTCTTTTTTGGTTATTCTTGGTCA